GTTCATAAGAAAAAAGGAGAAAGGAAGAAATTCCACTTATAAAAGGAAAAGAAAAGAGAAATATATCATAGAATATCATATTCATCTCATATTACATTTATCATATTCCAAGTTCATCTGTTCACTTCTTTTTTTTATTCTCTATAATTCATAATGAATATACACTAGAGAGTAGAAGTGCTTAGATGAAACTGTAAAAGTTTATAGATTAAATAAATATGTGTATCGATGTATATTAATATGTGCGTGTACATGTGTGTCTGTATGTATCCAAAGACTTGTGTGTATCCTTCTTGTTTTTTTTATTATTTATTTGAGATATTTCATGATATTGAAAAATTGAGAAAAGCAAATGATTATCAACCATGAAAACAAGTGTATGTGTGTGTATGTGCATTCATGTGTGTGCGTGTGTGTGGTTGTGGTTTTTTTTCAATATTCCAATTTTTCTTACTATAAAGAGACAGACAAATAAACAAACAAAATTCTATTCCTCTTAAATAAAATACCACAAAATTCCTTGAAACAAGTAAACAATCAAACTACTAATTTTCAATATAATTTTTACCCACATTATTTTTCAAAACAAAATGGTCATAATATGAGGTTGAAAAACTTTTTTTTCAAGTCAAACCAAGTTAAAAAAGAAAAGATTATCAAGTTGAAAATAAAACAAAAATATCATGGGAGTCATTGAAGATGAGTAGATTAAATTTTGACAGTATGTCTTTATATAAAAATGGGTTGATTTTATTTGAATATCTATTTCATGTTAGTTAACAGAAATATTTGTTCCTTATATATTATTTCTTATTTCATTTAACCATATATTAGTATGATATTAGCATCACAATTATCATCATCAACAACAACAACAACAACACAAACAACAAGAAAAACAGAAGATAAGTAAACAATAAAAATCTATAAAGTAAAATATTGGCAAGAAAATGGAAAACTAGTAGTAAAATTAATAGATGTTATTGTACTGTTATAATTCACCCAAAATATCACTTTAAAATATGACAATATAAAAAATCATAATTAAAATCTTATTTCATTTTTCTTATCTTTTAAAAATCAGATACTACTTCAATTTATTTTAGAATATAGAACTTAGTATTTAAAATAAAAAAGACGATTAGTGGTAAATAGAACTTAGAAATTAATAATAAGAAATAATATCAGGAGTTTTGTGGAGATTTTAGAAATTTCAATGGTTGAAATCATGAATCAATTGAAGCTAGACTACCATGGAAAACCTGGAAGCATTGGAGGGCCGTCTTGTCCTAATGTGAGAATCCTGAGCAGAGCGCATCCGTGATCCCGTCTACCGCGAGATTTGAACTCAGGACCTATCAGTCTCGCGCGAAAGCGCTTAACCATTAGTTTCAATTGACTCATGATTTCAACCAGTGAAATTTCTAAAATCTCCACAAAACACCTGATAATAATCATCTACTCACTAGTGACTGACATCAAGAGACATTTCTTGGAGTTCTAGTGAAAAGCCGTGACCAGTGGTTCAACAAGGTCTGTTGTGAAATTGTTGGGGACGATAGATCCCCAAAACTCAAATTTTGTAATTTACTTATCGATTAAATGTGCAGATAGGTCAATTGATGAACTATCGATTAAATGTTCAAATAGCAGTCAATTGTTGATTAATGTTCAAAAATCTTCCATGACAATATCGATTGTAAATATTTGTATAAATACGCTTGATTTGTGTGCTTGACTTGACTTGTTATCTGCTGTTTGTCTGTAGAATACACTTTCTACACCTTACCAGACTTCTTGACCGAGTTAGCAGAGTTGGGGACAACGGACCAGAATAAACTATCGAGATTCTGAATCCTTGGTCCGATCGATAAGTCACTGTCATATAATCGGCTGTCACTTTGAGACATAACAGAAATATCAGCTCACTGAAGACAATGGTGTACGGTGGCACAACTTCACGGATTGTTTGAAGTTAGACGTTAACGTCGTTGGATGCTGGCTCAGTGGTCTAATGGTTATGCGCTCGCGGGCGGTGCGGGATCGTGGATACTCACTACTGAGGAGTCTCATACTAGGACAAAACGGTCGTCCAGTGCTTCTAGGTTTTTCATGGTGGTCTAACCTCAATTAACTCATGATTTCAACTAGCGAAATAAGAAATAGATCAGAAATTAAAATGACTTTATTTATTGATTTTTATTTCTTTAGATTATTTTCTTTTCGATTAACTAATCGCTCAAAACTTTATAGAAAAATTTTCTCATTGTTTATAATAAAATGAACAAAAAATGAAGCACTGCATAAATACCATAAGATAGGTATAATTACAAAGTAATAGTTAGACGAATAGATATGAAAGAATACACTTACTAACGTCTGTTACCTCTCATGAACGAGAATAGGCCATTCACCAGAATTCTCCATCCTACTCTATTATGGACAATCCTTTCCAGTTACTATTCATCCTTTTCATGTCTGCTTCCAATTCTCGGTATAGTATGTTCTTCGGCCTTCCTCTTTTTCGTTTCCCTTCAATATTCCGAGTTAGTGCTTGCTTGTCTCGTGATGCAGTTTAACAATTTTCTCCATGTGTGTTCTATCCACTTCCAACGTTTCCACCTAATTTTCTCTTCAACTGGAACCTGGTTTGTTCTCTTCCATAGTATGCTGTTGCTGATGATTTTCAGCTAAAAAAAAACATTGAGTACCTTACATAGACAATGGTTGCTAAATACTTGCAAACACAAATTAATATGAATGATTAGTGGGAAAATATTATTATTTCAATATTCCTATTCTATTGTTAGAATAAAATATTAGCAAGTTAAAATGAATATTAGACTATTTCAATTTCATTCATTATAACAGATGGAAAGTGAACTGAATAGTTATAAATAACAAATTTATTTTGTGTATAAATGATTTACAAGATCATGGATATCTTTCGTCGGATAACAAATTTAACGAGAAATATGAAAGTAATAAAGATATTTTTTGATAGTTTAAAACGTTAGAAAATTGTATTCCCCTCTTAACTTCATTCTCTGAATGATTCTATAATATTCATATCACACAGTACTTATACTGTTGTCAATTTGTTTAATAACTATCAATACAAGAGGATTTGTGTAGATTGTAGTATTTCTATAGTTTAAATCATCAACACTGATCTTACCTAAACCAATGATGGAAATTAAGAAGTACTAACTTTCCTAAGGATTAAATATTTTTATTTCAAGTCTATTTGATATTTCTACTAACCATCTACTAAGTTTAAATTCACTTAATAATCAAACATACTACTTTTTTATTTATTACTATTAAATAGATTTTGATTAATTATCTTACATTTTTCTAATTTTTAAAAGAAAAATAAATCAAACTATTAGCTATTTACATATAAACGGTTAGTTTCAGCAGCCAACAGCACTTTCCATGACTATATTGAATACTATAACAGATGCAAAATTATTCTTTTTATAATGTAAATATTCAGTTTATTTAACAATCATAATTTGCAATTCTACTCACATATAATTCAAATATAATAGAACAATTAATTATAGTTCATTTTTGTATTGGTTGTTTGAATCTTCTAATTGATGTTTAGAGCTGCAATTGATCAGTCTCTTATGGGAATATGTGCATCCTATGCGGATTGTCCTGATATTACCTTAATTCACAAGCATCACAAACAAATATGGATAGTGGCTACCAGTGAAATCGAAAACAAGCGTTTCGACACATTTGGGACTCGTCAAGTGGATGTACCTGTGCAGAGTTGATGTTTGTTACGGGACTCGAACCCAGTGCCGTTTGCTTCGAATGCCATCGCGTTATCCATTTAGCTACTAAGCATAGTTATATGTTAGCTTGTGTAATGGGGAGTAGTTTAGTTCATTTTTGTATTGCTTGTTTGAATCTTCTCATTGATATTTAGGACTGAAATCATTGCTCATAATGATAAAATAACTTCCATTCCATATTCATCATAACATGATATCAGCCGGAACAAACTATTGAAAACTAAGAAGAACTAGACTCCTGCTTTGTTCTACTTCAAAATTTCTCAGTATTCCTCATTCGTAACCTGAAAGGTAACCTAAGGTATAGGTAGTAGATATTGTGATGATCACAATATTTTTCTAATCACAGATTTAAGATTTAGTGATCTATATTAACAAATTTAGTCAAATATAAATTCAGAAACAATGCGTTCAAATCTTGTGGAAGGATTATATTGTTCGTCCGGACTTTATCAGAAAAATGAAACTTTGTGGCCTATTAATTAAATCCGCTGTTAAATGCTTGATGGAGACGCTGAGAATTCATCTAAATTGAATGAAAGTAAACTTTACAGTCCTATAAATGATTTTAGATTGATATCATAAAAGGATGAATGTTAGAATATCACTGAAAACTTGTAAACAATGGACGGCCATTTCGTTCTAGTATGTAACTCCCCAGTAGTACACGCGCAGACGCTCAACATCTACGCTACTGAGCCGGTATTCAACGGTGTTAGTGTCTAACTTCAACCAATACACAATATTGCGCGACCGTCCACCATCATCCTCAGTGAGTAACTGCCCAACAAGAGACACATTTGAGCTCCATTGGTCAAAGCTTCTCACTTGAACTACAGGAAAACTATCTTGAACCAAGTCACTGGTGAGCACATGATAATTATCAGTATACGGTTCGCATGCGAGACCGAAGGTCCTGAGTTCGAGTCCCACATGTGTGGTCGTCAATGCGCACTGCTGAGGAGTCCCATACTATGGCGAAACGGCCGTCCAATGCTCCCAGGTTCTCAATGGTGGCCTAATTTTGATCCATTCATTATATCAATCTAAACTCAATAATCTCCCCAACCTTTACTGATAATTATAAATGAGTACCAAAAATATATTTGTACATTTGTATTCTCAATTTCTATTTCCATATTTCAGATTCATGTGAGTACACTTAAATATTGCTTTTCTTTCATTTTTCAGTTTATCATTTCCCGTGACGGTAATTGTGGTCTTAATTATGAACATTCTGTTGCTGAAGGAATTGCTGTAGTACGTCTGATAGAACATATTCTTCAATATATGTAAGTTATTGAGCCTTATTCAATTTGCTGAGTGGAATATAACTTCGAGAGCATTTCAAATAATGTCTTCATTAAGTAGTTGGAAAGTTCAAAAACTGATCATTTTACTTGTGGAGCTTGAATAATCTCAGCTTTGACCTTAGTGAAAATGATCAATACGTAATATTAATAAATCATAGAATACGACAGAGCTATTGTTAATTGTCAGAAATTCTTTAAATGAAACCAATTCATAAATAGAAACTGCTTCAAACTGAAACAAAATCTTTCATTCTCTAATCACTAGTTAATCTATCAATATTAAATTACTAATTGAAGGTTATCGTAATGAGAACACAATTTAATTACTGAACATGTTGAAAAACCTCGTTTGTACATCAAACGACTTCCCCACTAATTTTTAGTAGTTTCTAGAATAGATTTTATCCAGCGGTCACTGGAACTTAACCATCAGTAGGTATTCATTCGAATGTCTCTATTAAAAAGAACATGAGATAAATAATACTTATTATCACACTACAACAGTATTGACAAAAAGATATAGCTTTTTATTTGACAGAGATAATGTTATTATAGAATAATTTGCCCTCAAGAATATGTTAATTTAAGCAAGATAAAATAAAGACGATATTTGCCTCCTATTTGAATTCTAGGAAAGAAGTAAAACGATGGAAATTAGTTCGATTCCCATCTGTATGTGAATTGGCGTATCCGAGAAGAATGAAATGGAATTTAGACAATAATTCAAAATCAATGATTGACTACGCCTTGAATGAAATTGATAAGTAAGTAGCTTCTTTCTTTTCTCGATTATATAATTTAGTAAAACCAGGGTAGTTTTAATCATAATATCTCATCAGCTGATAACTTGTTGAGAATCAAGAAGTGATAAATATCCTTTTCGTCCTAGCTTTAAACTCAACAGTAACATGATTGCACTTAAGACTTACGTGAAAGCACTTGGTCAGTGAGTTGTAATCTAATAGTCAACATTTCAAGTCTTAATAACGAATAGAGACACTGGTGAGCCTTCAAATCTTTAAGAGTTCCTTACCTGATTCCAATAGGTAGAAAGAACTATCTTCAAATATCTACAAATCATTAAATTAAGAATAAAATGGGTAAAAGATAACTTGAGGTATTTCCATCATTTCGAGGCATCTCAAAAAATAAGTTCTGAACCGAGGAAATCTAAACAAATTATCCATTAAAATAGTTGTTGTGTGCTTAAATACCTAAACAAAACAATCATAAATACTGAACAAATGGATGTATAAAATTAATGCGATACATTGTTTCTCAAAAAAAAACATTTTAATCAATTCATTCGAAAGCCAGAGATGGTGACACTGACGAATTCAGATGATTAGTTATTCATTTCAAAATAGATCCATATAAAACGAGAGCGCAGTCATTAAGAATCGACAAAATGCAGGTGAAAACTCAGTAGAAATGTTTTGTTTGAATACCTCTTGACGAGGATAAAGCATAGCCTGTATTAACAATACGAAAGTGTTTGCTATCCACCTCCAGCGACTCGTCCTGATTTCATCCTCCGCTGGGATCTGGTTTGTTCTCTCCCACAGTACGTTGTTGCTGATAGTGTCTGGCAAACGGATCCGAAGTATTTTGCGTAGACAACTGTTAATAAACACTTGTATCTTCTGGATAATGGCTTTTGTAGTTCTCCAAGTTTCCACCTCATACAGTAGAACTGTCATGACACTTGTTTTGAAAATTCTGGCCTTGGTGTTGGTTGACAGTTGTTTTGAGTTCCAAATGTTCTTCACTTGTGAATATGCTGCTCTTGTTTTGTTAAGGTGTGACTAGGGAGTTTTAAATTAAGAAGGTGTAGAAACTATCAACTGTTATGTGATAGGTAGCAAGTAACCCTGACAATCAATCCTTAATCTTATAAATTCGTCAAAAGTTTACAAGACCATAAACTAACATTCATAAACATTTTAAGTAAAGCTTAATCTTAGTTATTTTGTATAAAATATTTTGCTTATGAGTGACGAGTTATTCTCTCTTCTGATAACTGTTCATTGTGAGCTTGTATCATTGATTTGGATTAATATGCAGTTTTCACTCAACCACAGTCAATTCAGCCAGTTATTTATCATTTATAATAACCATTATAGAAAGTGGGATTCGAATTCCTACGTGATAAAACTATGTTGATATCTTAAAGAGAGCAAGAACAAAAATTGGTGCAGAATAATATGAATTCATTTTATTTCGTTAGGTTCTCATCAGCTGCTTACAACCTAAATTATTTAAAATTCAACATTAATACAGATATTGACATATTTATATATAAGAGTGTGATTAAGGATCAATACATGTGTATGATGATGTAGCGAATATTCAGATGGAGTTAATGAGCTCATAAAATGTTTGATTCGAATAAATAAATAAAGCTAGAGAGAGAAAGTTCCAGAACATTGAAATAGTGATTAGAACTCATGAAATAGATTAATGGTAATAAAGAAAATATGAATTGAAATCAATCAGTTATGTATGATGTAATTTATATTTCAGAAAGAGTTGCAATAATGACGTAATAAATAAATAAATAGGAGCAAATTAATAGAAAAGTGGGGGTTATTGTTACCAGGGTAAAGAAAGATTTATTACTGTCTCTTTTTGTATACATAGATCTGGTTTTAAACGTTTGATTGCTAACGCTTCAGCGAATTTCAAAAGGTTCGAGTTTGATTGTTTGTTAATCACCTTGAAGGACTTCAGTATATCAGCTTTATGTCCTGTATATATATATATTTTCCTTAACATAATGACAAATATCAGAAAAGGTTTTGTGGAGATTGTAGTAATTTCAATAGTTGAGATCATGAGTCAATTGAAGTTAGATCACCATGAAATATCTGGAAGCACTGAACGACAAGTGTTTATCATTTCAAATCTAATTAAAGAGTATTACATTTTATTTACCTATTTTCTCTCAAGTAAAACTTTCTTCAAAAAAAAAACATTCTTCCAATTTCTTTGGTTATTTTATGCAGAAAATTAGGAAAAAAACTTTTCTTTGGTTAATTCACTAGCTTTTAATTAAAATAAATTCGATTTGTTAGCATTTATCCCTGTTCTCCCTTATTCCCCTTCCTCTTTTTGTTCATTTGGATACTAACTATTTATGATTTAATTAAATTATGCTTTTTCCCTTAGATGTTGATTAATTTATACAAAAAACCGAATTTTTCCTAAATTGATAATATTTAATTTTATTTACCTATGGATTGAAAAATACAAAAAAAAAATACTTATAAAACTTCATTATCTTCTTTTAGCTATGCTATTTCATCGAATGACCTTCAAAAAAAAACGTGACTTGAATTGTTCAATCCCAACATACATTTGAATATATGATGAGAGAGTTTTAGTTATTTTATGATTTTTGATAAGTGTGAATTAATAGAAAATCATGAAGAGTAAACTATTCTATATTTACTACTGAATTAAATATCATTATCTGTTCATACTTATATCAGTTTTTGCAGTAAATAATCACAGTTAAAGATACCTCAAACTTTTTCATAAAACTACTGAACAATTTAATAAGCAATAATGATGATTCTAAGGAAAGATGGATAGTGGGTGGCAGTGGAATCCAGGACACAAGTTTCGTCCTATTCGAGACTTGTCAGATGTCTAACAGGAATCAGTAGTTAAATGGATAACGCGATGGAGTTTGAGGCGAACGGAACTGAGTTCGAGTCCTAGAGTGAACATCAACTTTGAAATGCAGTTACATTCGGCTGAATAGTCCCAAATAGAACGAAGTGTGTGTCCTGTATTTCAGTGCTAGCCACTATCCATCTTTGTAAATATTGCTTGTTAATTAAGGCAATAACGAAGCAATACGCACAGTGTGCACATATGCCCATAAGAGACTGATCAACTGCAGACCTAAACATCAATGGGAAGATTCAAATAAACAATACCAAGTGAATTTAATATAGATGATTATTAGTATCTTTTTTACTAAAATATAATTATAAACTTTCTTTTGAAATTAAAATATACATTAGACTGACAATTTTCCAATTGTATCATAGCCAGTAAATACTACTTTCAGTAGGACGTACTTTGAACTACAGGGTATAGAATTATTACATTCACATATTAAGCAACTAATATTGACTATTATTTATGTAAATAAACTCGATAACTGGTCAATAAGCGTTGAAACTATTGTTTTCCAATGAATTCGAACAAATAGCATAAACTATATCAAACATTTCTAAACTACAAACGAATAAAACTTATTTAGTTTATGAAGGATAAAAAGAGTAATAAGAAAGGCATTACCGTTATTAATATTATTATCTATATTATGATTAACCAGTAGAATCGATTATCTTCAAGAAGGGAAATTTTCAGCATAGGGTTACGGAGATTGTTGAGTTTAGATTGATGTCATGAATGGATGAATGTTAGGCCACCGTTGAAAACCTGAAAGCATTGGACAGCCGTTTCGTCCTAGTATGCGACGCCTCAGAAGTGCATATCCACGATCCCGCACCGAAGGGACTCGAACACAGAACCTTTGGTCTCACACGCGATCGCTTAACCTATAGACCCCTGAGCCAGCATCTATCGGTGTCTAACTCCAACAACTCCACGATATTGGGCGATTATCCACCATTTTCCTCAGTGAGTAACCACCTCACAACAGACACGGTTGAACTTCACTGGTCACGGCTTCTCGCTGAACGCGCACTGCTGAGAAGTCCCATACTAGGACGAAACAGTCATCCAGTGCTTCCAGGTTTTTAATGGTAGTTTAACATCAATCCATTCATGATATCAACCTAAAGGTACTTTTCATCAAAAAATGCATACTCACTATATTTTTCACTATTAAAATACAAATGCTTCTCATTAGTTATAAATCTACTGGTGAAAATAATTACAAACTATCTTTTTTGTTTTAGGATAGCAGATGATCTGGACTTATACATACTTCGTTATAAACAATATGGACGAGAATTCCCAAAAATTGTCAACATGAGCCCAGATTCATTCATTCAATTAGCTTTACAATTAGCTCATTTCAAGTAAGTTATACAGTAATAATAATAATGATAATAATAATAGTAATAATAAATAATATATACATTCATTTCGGAATATCAAATCATAATTTTGAAGAAAAATTTGCATATCAACTAATCTCTATATTCGGTCACTCTTGTACAAAAGTTATTTCTAGATTGATTCATTTCGTTTATTGTACTAAAAGCTTCTAACTGAAACAAACAACATCGAAAGTAGTTGACTGAACAATTAATTAATCAGAAAACTATCTACCTTGTTTGTATTCAATGGAATAATAACAGTTCGCAAAGCTTTACGTAGGACAACCACTGATTAAATAGGAATAATAGTTTTATTTTTTATCATCAGAAAAGAATTTTCGACATCAGTTGTGTAGTACTGAAACAAAACCTCAAATACTTATTATTATTATTCAAGAGTTATATTTTATAAGTACTTCTACAATAGTCATGATTTTCCACTCATCTTAAATAATGAAGCTTTACTCTTAGTTTAGGTGTTACAACCAATTATTGAACACACGAATTCCAATATAATCTTCAATCGGTTTCTTTTTTCAAAGAGCAGAGAATGTGGAGAATATGCCGATGAGTTCAGTGTTTCAGCATTTAGTACCGTGATAAATTGTAAGCCTTTCATAATATCACGTGAGTACGTAAAGGATTTACAATTATTTCTTTCGAACAAATCTAAAACAGGAAGGTTTATTGAAATATCTGCACAGTTGGGAAATGTGTCTAAAACTTTTTGCCGGGCAGCTGTCTTCAATAGTGAGGAATATAAAATATGAAAATGATATACATAATATTTGATCAAACAGAAAACCATGTCATTACATAAATACTGTTTTCTCTAGTATCATTATAAGATTAACAATTGATCACTTTTGAACTCATATTTGCTTCGAATGGAATGTACTCATGCGAAATAATGCTGTAAATCTTTACAAAAAATAATTGTGTTCAGCAGTAAACCTGAGTTAATTATTACCGCAAATATTCGTGAGTTTTCCTTAGTTAAAATGGTCAGGTGCGATCCGAAGAACTCCGTCATAACACCTGTAACTAGGACACTGAGTTATATGAGCTTAAATCGACTGAGTATTAAAAATTCTCTCAAGATGTTATTCACACTCTGATGATGAATGATGACTAGGACATGACATACGCAGCTCGCTGACGTTTAGCTTGAACTACCTAACGATGGGTATATATATGGTAGTTTATTGGTCTATTAAACTGTTATTTTCACATCTGACAACTTCAATAAGCCTCACGATTACTATTTTTTTCAGTAACCGTTAACTGACTATTAATACTTTATTACATAATAACTAGTAGGAAAATTATTCAGTACACTTTGAGTACAGAACTGAAAATAATCATGATCATAATCACAAAAGCATTTTAGTTGCAATAAAGTTTATGGTAGATAGGATACAAGTTGTCTTTCAATTCCTAATTTGAAAATACATTATAGAAATAGTCAACAAAGCTCGAAAAAATAGCAATAATAATGCGATTAACCCTTCATTACTTCTGTTGTGTATGCTACTTATGTTGACAGATGTAAGTATTATGTAACACCGATCAGAAGTGAAATGCCTGGCAGCAAACGATAGTATTAAAGAAAACAGAAGCGTAAACAGAGTAACTGTAAAAACGACAGGAATGAAGGAAAGATTAAGTTTGTAATAGAAAACTGATGGAAGATGTGCAAACGGTGCATGGCTTTCATATTTTATGAACACAGTGTAATTTTACATCATACAAATTGGTTTTCCACACCTGAGTGTTCGTTCATCACAAATCTACATGGGATTAAGGGAAATACAATTTACTTGCAAAATTTCGTTTTTTTCCAAATAAAATTTAGTCATTCGATAAAAAAGTAGATATGATATGCTACCACCCAAATCACGGTATGTAAACATAAATTTGTACTAACAGATTACAGAGTAGTGACCAATATCATGTTGTCTAACTTTGAAGAAAACGACAAATAGAATTCGGTGATGTTGTTGAGTTACTTGGCAAACAGGTGACTTTTTGAATGAGTTGACTGCTAGAGTCTGATCAATACTAAGCACCATGGAATTCGGTTGCTACCAAATGACCCCGTCGGGTAAAAATTTCAGTCATGAAGGAGGTAAATCTCGATCAACATCATATCCAGTAATACCCCTCACTGTGAGGCTGGATAGAGTATACTTCGATCCGAAGAGTATCATAAAATCCTTTATAAACTCAAAGAACGATTACTGCTGAATACAAAAGAATAAAAAAGTCTAATTTAAAGATTCCTGCACAAAGTCTGTAACCACCTAACACCATAAAGCTTTGTCATAATTTTTACTCCACAATCACAAAATATTATTTGATCATCTGCTTTATTCTATAAAATTACTCATGCGAAACGCAAAAATCATATTTCTGTATGATAAAAATATCCATAAAAAGGACTGAAAATGTTTCTGGGAATGTAACAATATATTGTTATTTCTGTCATCAAGAGAGTTCTTCATTACATAGCTAGAATTTTATGTAAACAGAATATACCCATTGAGACAAAATAAGAAAGATTAGTTCAGCGAAGAATATTCTGTTGCAAAGATGATCATCTCACTAGAGAGATCTGCAAAGAAAAATTAATATCATTTGTGTGATTGACAAAAATTGTAACACTTCATAACATTTCTTTGAAATATAAGATGTCAAAAGTTGTATATTCTTCAGACATAAGATGTCGACCAGTAAAATTGGTTTCATAGAGACAAAGGCTGATTTCCATTTCAAGAGAAATTTGTAGACAATAACCAGATTATGTCCCATATTCACTGATTTCCATGAGGTTTAATTTTTGTATACACCTGCTGATAAGAATTCAAATCTCGTAAGGACCATCAAAACCATTAAAAATAATAGATACGCCGACTTGATGAATGCAAACTAGCTCAAAATCTAGGTTTAGATTTTAATAAAGACTATCTTCAATCATCTAACAGTAACAATTAATAAATATCAAAAACTATCCGGCTCAAGATTATCCGAAATTTCCTCTACAATACCACTTTGTAACACTACCTGATTAGGTTGCTTTAAAGCTATGATAGAAGACTAATTCATCTCTTAACTTATCTGACCATGTTTGTTTTCCATGTTTAACAGATTGCATAAATATTTAGTGCCAACTTATGAAAGTGCTTCAACAAGACGATTTGCTTTAGCTCGAGTTGATAATATTAGAGCTTGTTCAATGCCAGCTTTGGAATGGTGCAAAGCAATGACAGGTCAGACCAAATGTTCAGTAAGTAATTTTATTTTAGTGAAGCTGTACAGTACTGTTTGTAGCCATTTAACATATGTAATAAACAACTAAACAGTAGAACAAGATTGAGATATAAAATGTGCGGGAACTATAAGCGTTAGAAGATTGTGTCATGATCTGAAGTTTTCAAAGACAGTAATATGAAAACTATTAAGAGAATAAACCGTTGAAACCATGAACCGATCAATGTCAGACGTCTATTGAAAACGTGGGAGCACTAAACCGAAAGTTCTGGATTCAATTCCTACATCATGAGTCGTGAACGCGCACTTCTGAGGGTTTTCATACTAGGACGGAACGGCCGTTCAGGATTTCAATAGTGGTCTAATATTGATCGGTTCATGGTTTCATTGAGATTTAACAATCATCACAGCTTTATACTGAGATGATTATCCCTTAGAAAAATATGGAGTAGGGAAAAACGAAACGAAAAGCTTCAATGTGATAATAACAAACAACTAACAATTACTAAAAATTAAATGACAGTAATAGCAACTGATTATCGAGTGATGAAAATCGAAAATTGTTTGAAAAACCAAGTTACTCATGCTAGTTAGCAGTGGCTGTTTCAACCTACATGAGATTAGCTTTGCCAATCCTGTGCTATAGCAGCATTTACTCTATTTTAGAAAAATGTTCGAATTACATAATTCAAGCAGACTAACCAGGACACACTAATGAAATCATTTCTAATGAAAAAATCTAGTTAGACTCATGGTTAAAAAGGAAACTGTCGATAAGTAATGATAGATTTAAGTACAAAACTATATTATCGGTAAATAGATCGAAGAAAATTGTTCAATTATTGGTGCACATCAAAATTCTATCTTATTTCCAGTTAAACGATCATTTAACAGTTAAACTCATTCATAATTAAGGACACTGACATAAACCTCAATGACTAGATCTTCAAATTGGAGGTTAGTCACCTATTTGTGATTTATTACAACCATCGCAATTAATTCCGAATTTTTTATGGTATTAGGATGAGTGGTTTAATAGATATTAGTACAGTTCAGAGATATTTGAGGTAGTAGGGTTATTTTATCCAGATAACTAGTGAAAACCAGATTTTGGACAGTGTTTTCATTCTAGTATAGGATTTTTAATCAGTATGCACCCATAACTTAGATGGATTAAATTATGAACATAACGAATTCACACTGGGGTTTTCACCTTCAAACTGCTGAATTGGTATACGAAGAATCGCATATCCGAATTAAATCGATTTGTGATATTACTGTCCAGCGTCCCGTGGATTTACATACCTGCATAAATAAATTTAATACTTAATCAAAAATACCTTGAAAGTTTTCTGTAATAAACTCTGCAGATAAGTGACAAGCATCAGTGAGAGAACGAACGTAATTATACGTTCGTTTTCTTACTAAAATATGACATCTTCGTTGAACTAAATTGAGTTACTTTTCAAAGGTCTGTAGTTTTAAACAAATTAGTCACTATTTGGATGCAATTGGTTAGTAAATAAAACACTGGTGTTTGAAGTGATAGGAATAGAGTTCAATGCTCAAACAGTTAGATCCGTGTGCGGCTTGCTCATGAGTCCTGAAAAGGACAAAACAAGCATTTTGAATTGTACCACTGGCTATCATTCATATATATCATGACTTCATTGAATAAAATATGTAGAGTTGTAAATTGTAAAGTTCATATTGAGTTAATTTCAATACATAAAATTTGTTACTTACCGAATTCAATTATAGTTTTAACTGATAACTTTTAAAATAAAAACTTTTATAGACAGATGAAAAAATTCGTTTATTACGTAAAGCAATGGAATGGCAAACAGAAATTATGCTTGAAACTATTCTTGGTCATGGTGTAGATAATCATTTACTTGGTCTAAGACAAATAGCATTAGCTCATGGTAAAGAATTACCAAATATTTTCAAAGATCCAAGTTATATGGAATCAAACAGATTTCGTTTGTCTACAAGTCAAGTAAGTTATAAACTATTTTAAAACTAACATAATATGATAAATTTTAGTTAAATAAAAATTATTCTAAGCAAAGATGAAAAGTGACTAGCAGTGAAATCCAGTTTGCTGCACGTTTCTTCCTATTCGGGACTCGTCAGCTGGATGTACCTGCATCTTAGTGTTAACGGTCACTCTGGGACTCGAACCCAGTACTGTCCGCTTCTGAATATACAAATATTAATTAAAATTCATAATTGAATGCCAAGTACATAAAAGATATTAGTTAGAAACCAAACATTTTCTTAATGATGTCAAAGATATATGATTTGAAAGTTTTACCAAATTGTAAAATTCTAGAAGTGTAGTGAACAGAAAACGGGTGGGGACAACCGAACGTATTTGACACAAAATTACAGAGCATCTCAATAAAATCTGAGAACTATATATTAAATCGTTAATTTGCAAAATGTACACCAATTGTCTCAAAATGCCTCAGACTTCATTGTTCTTACATTTTCATACAAATTGCATTCTATTCCCGCTCTTGTTTTCTTGATCTTGCCTCATCTTCTGCTGCCAGACATTAATTCCTGACTCGCATAATATACTACTTATATCAATATAAGTAGCACGCACCACAAAAGTAATTTTAAAAATAAGATCATACATTTATTAAAATTAGTTGATAAGAGATCAATTTATATTTACTGAATTGATAAGCAACATTTTCTTTTAAGAAAAATTTTAAAAAATTGTTTGAATCAAAACTAAATTGGTATCATTTGGTCTTTTCATGTTAATCACTCGTTAGTGTTTGTTTTTTTAGGGGGGTTTTCAATTTTTTTTCTTGATAGGGATTTTAAGAAAGGTATAATAAATTAATGATTTCTAAAACTAAGTTTTTGATAGAATAGCAATAAGTTTGTTTTTTTTTTTATCAAAATGTTATGTGATAACTTTATATATAAAATGCAATTTTTGAAGTTTTACTCTTTCCCGGTGTGCAATACATATATTGTTCATATAGCTTTATGATGTATTACGATGAATACTTACTTACTTACTTACGCCTGTTACTCCTCACGAAGGAACATAGGCCGCTCACCAGCATTCTTCATCCAACACTGTCCCGGGCAATCCTTTCCAGTTCTTTCTAGTTGTTATTCATCCTTTTCGTATCTCCTTCTATTACCCGACGTTATGTGTTCTTTGGCCTTCCTCTCTTCCACTTCCCTTCGGGATTCCAAGTTAGGGCTTGCCTCGTGATGCAGTTTGATGATTTCCTCAATGTGTTTCCAATCCACTTCCAGAGTCTTTTCCTAATTTCCTCTTCAGCTGGAAGCTGGTTTGTTCTCACCCATAGAAGGCTGTTGCTGATGGTATCCGGCCAATGGATGTTGAGCATCTTGTGTAGACAACCATTTATATATACTTGTACCTTCTTGATGGTGGTTGTTTCAACTCTGTACAGTAGAACCGTCTTGACGTTCATATTGAAGATTCTGACTTTGATGTTAGTTGACAGACAGTTGTTTTGAGTTCCATATTCTCTCCAACTGTAGAAATGTGGCCATTGTTTTTGAAATCCTCGCCTTTACGACTGCATCTGATCCTCCATTGTTCATCGATGATGTTTCCCAGATATGTGAAGGATTCTACATCTTCCAGAGTTTCGCCATCAATTGTGAATGTATTGCTACTCTCCGTGTTGTATTTGAAGACCTTGGTTTTCCCTTTGTGTATGTTGAGGCTTACTGATGCAGAGACTGCTGCTACACTGGCTGTCTTTATCTGCAGTTGTTCGTGTGTACGCGATAGGAGGGCTAGGTCATCTGCGAAGTCCAAGTCGTCTAATTTATTCTGAGCGGTCCATTGTATGCCGTGTTTTCCCTCAGATGTCGAGGTCTTCATAATCCAGTCGACCACCAGAAAAAATAATTCGAACCACGATGAATAACGTTCATTATAATTGACATGGAATAAAAATGAATACCTTCACAGTGATGAGGAAGAAAATATGAAACATACATGTACTGCATTAACTATTCCAACAAGTTATGTGCATTAGATGATTAAGATAGTCAACTAGGATTCCTAATGTAATGCAAATAAATAATTGAAAACCTTGACTCAAATTGTTTTACTTCAATAATAATGTATTCTCTTATTACTTACCCTTAGAGATATAACAGTTTACATCTGATTTTATTTATCTTCAGTTGTTGTTGTTCTCATCCTTACTAACTTGTTATATTTTAGACTTTGTGAATAGCATTGAAAAAAATACTATTATCGAAATAAAATAGTTATTTTGTGCAATTTTCGATGAATCTTGAAAGTGGCTTTCCTCACAATCTGACATTCATTGTATAACCAATAGAAATCAAGGAGAAATAAACAACTGTTTCACCCAAGCCTTGAGTAGCTTAATATTGTGCACTCATAAAGAAAACTACTGAAGACTTTTAACTTACAAAAGAAATGTAGTCCTCCTAAGTCACTAAATGGAAGTCCAGAAATCCGTATTTTTTCAAAGTTAATGAAATTTTGATATATTATGAGGCTCATTTAGAAACACTAGTAAATTACTTTCTTACTCTTGATGTGGTTAACTGTACAGTATATGCCTTCTCACTAGTATTTCAGAATATCGGTCTTGAGGTATGTGATTATTTCTGAGCTGGGTAGGTCATAATTTGATGTTGATTAATATAAAGGTAATATCCATCATGAGCTAATATCAATTGAAAACCATGGACCACATAAAAGATGCTTAATCATAATTCATTTCTCTAGCTAGAGAATCAATGAACACCAATTATTGACTAAACAACTTTAGGAAACGTAGATATTCAATGAAAAATTAGTAAAAAAAACAATTATTTTTTTCTATAAATGGATCAATTTTGTTAGCACTGAACAGTGAGGTATAACCTAAGTACTTTAAATCGATTGTCAACTACAAATCCATATCATGGAAACAATCATTCTGTAAAAAAAAACACAATAATATCGATTGTAGGCAAACTATTTTTCTGAGTAAAATGAAACAGTCCCTGTTTTTTTCTTCAACATTATTCTTAAAATCCTTATATAACAATTCAAGTGATTGAGATTTCGATTTTTTCATAAAAAAATAGAATAAAATAAAATAAAAGAATAAAATTTACTAGTGAAACAATTTCATGTTAATGAAACATATTGCTATTTTCTTTCTATCTACTTTGGAAATGACACAGAAATATTTTCATGGATTAATTAATTGTCACTTGAGCAAATAGGGCATATATATATATATATATATATATATATATATATATATATATATATAAATATATATATATATATATATATATATATATATATATATATATATATATATATATATATATATATATAACAATGTTTAAACGTGCATACACAAAGACAGAACTCTTCATAGTCTATGCATACATTAATTGGAAGTGATAAGAATAATAAAAAAATGTGTATGCACTAATAGACAATTAACAATTTCCCGTTTGTTCGTGTTTTTTTTTGTTGTTAATTTTATTCACTGACAACTCTCATAGAATTAAGACAAGTAAATAAAATGAAAAAGCATTTGAAACTCTTCATTTGATGTAGAAAAAAAGAAAATAATACTAGATGAGTAACAAAAAAATAATCATTGAGTTGAAGAAAAAAACAAAAAAAATTATTTTCGATAAGAGAAAGAAAGTGGCACAAGTTTCTCCGTACAAAAAAATAAAATAACACAATTCAAATATATAAATACTCCATGTTGATAAGTCTGTAACAATAAATTAGTAAATACAAAAGAAAGTAAGTGAATAGTGATTGATTTAGTTTTTTTTTCAAGAACAAAAAACACTTTTCCAGTTGGGAAATTTTATCTAACAAATTAGTGGTAACAATTGTATCTAATTGAGATAAAGATTTTATATCTTTATAGATTTGTTTGTTGTTGTTTTTTCTTTGTAAATTTGTTCTATACAGTAAGTATCATGTGATTTCCATTTATATAAATGCAATAAGTAATATCGAATCATTTACAGTTGATTTAGTTATTTGAACACATAAATATTGGTACAAACGGGCACCGAATACATATACGACACACAAGTCACTTCATTTGTGTGTGGACTATGATACTACTTGAGAGGCCAGACCGAAGCAGGTAGTTTTCTTAATGAGCCACACCCGGAGCCTTCGACCTAAAAGTCTGATCCACAAGGCAGTGGAGCAACGTAAGGAGATGCAGTCTCATGATAGCCGGTGACCGATAATTGGTTCATACGCCATTTGTTCCATCGGGATCCTGGAGCCCATGTGCACCAGTGGTTTGGAATCAGGGTTTTCCAACTCCCCTATATTGAACCTCCATATCCAACAACCCAGTTAATGCGCCGGACATTCACTCTGAGTACACAACACCGCCGCCACGAGAAGGAAATGAGTAGGAATTTCCTGGTTGTGACTGTATACGCGTGGCCATGTGAGCGTTTGAAGAGGAAGAGACGCCTCTCCCCACTCTCAGCCTTACCAGGGTATTTAATTATATACAAGATTAAAATGTGCTTCATTTTAATACACATTCAGTCGCTTATATCAATGTATACAATAAAAACATCTAATGGAATTTGGCTATGTTATAAATTCAATTAAACATAATACTGATCATTGTACCTAATCAATTCTAAAAGAAAGAAAGAAAGTATTTGCAGTTTATTTACCTCAATCGTTTTATTTCTGGTTCAAAATGGTAAATGATGAGAGTGTGAGTTTCCTGTAGAGTTTCAATGTTAAATTAATGAATATCTTGTTAAATTATCGAGAACAAAATATATTAGATCAGTTATTTTTCTTTTTGATCGCCTTCAAAACTTCAACAACAAGTCTCTATGAATGCAACTTTAAGATTGAATTAAAATAATTCAGTTTATGTTAACAACATCTATTTGAGTCTGATGACATCAATCACTAATACAATGTAAATAATTGTACGTGATATTTTCATT